CTGGGCACCATAGCTCCAGTTTCATAGCTTGGAATCTGGTGTCAGATGACTCCTTTTGAATCCTGCCATTCCATTTCTTAACTGTGTGAGTATGGACCATTACTTAACATTTCTGTACCCTAACGTCTTCATATGTATGATGAAAAAAAGAAGAGTACTTACCTCAAAGGATTATTGTAGAATTATGCAATAATATATGTAAAGCATGTAACTTGGTTTCTGGCAGGTAGTAAGTGTGAAATAAATGTATATTGGTTTCATCATACTTTTATTGTCATTAAATAGCAAGCATCTCTTGGTTTCCATGTCTTCTTCCTGCAAATAGTTGATTATCCCCACCAAGACTTTATCACTTCAAATCCTAAACCAATCACTAAATAGCAAAGAAAGATGGGTAAACTAGGAGGAAAAAGGTTGTGAGTGGTCTATGTGTGGCATTAGAGTCTACCACAACTACTGGTATTCCTCTATGGGGTGAAGATACATTGTTTTTGATTTGTTAGTATACTCAACAGACTCATCAGATTTTAACTTTTTGAACTTAGCATCATTATAGGTGCTTCCTCTATCAGGGAATAAAATTCATGTCTAATAATTTGCAGCTTCATTGTCAGTATTGAAATACTTCATTGTCTTTTCTGTTGTCAGCCATTTGGGCCAAGATACATAGATACATTGTTTCCTTTCCTTCTGTGTAAACCCTTAGAGGAAAGTGTTCAAAACAAAAAAAAACAGGATTTATCTCACTCTCTTGTGTAACTATCAATAAAACGTTGCTGGGGGGGCGCCTGGGTGGCTTAGTCGGTTACGCGTCCGACTTTCGCTTAGGTCATGATCTCGCGGTTCGTGGGTTCGAGCCCCGCGTCGGGCTCTGTGCTGACTGCCAGCTCAGAGCCTGGAGCCTGTTTCAGATTCTGTGTCTCCCTCTCTTTCTGACCCTCCCCTGCTCACGCTGTCTCTCTCTCTCTCCTAGAAATAAATAAAAAACGTTTAAAAAAAAAAAAACAAAAAACGTTGCTGGGGTGTATGGGTGGCTCAGTTGGTGAGCATATGATTCTTGATCTTGGGATTATGAGTTTGAGCCCTATTGTTGGGTATACATACAGATGACTTGAAAAAATAAAATAAAATATAAAATACTGCCAATTCCTTAGAAGGTACCTTATACCTGGTCCTAATCAATGCCCCTCCCCCCATACCTAAAAATAACCCTTGTCCTGATGCTCATGCTAATTGCTTCCTGGCTTTTCTTATAGTTTGACCAACTAAGTGTAGTCCTGATCACTGTAGTTTAGTTTTGTTTGTTTTGAATTTTATTTGAATGAGATCATACATATAATTCTTCACTCAACATGTGGAATTCATCTTTATTCTTACATATAACAGCATTTCATTCACTTTCATTGTTGTATACTTATTTCATTGTCTGAAAATATCCCAGTTTGTTTAGTCTATGGTAGAAGGACAGTTGTGTTTTTTTCCTAGTTTGGAGTTGTTGGAAGCAATGTTGTTAGGAATATTCTTATGCATATAAGCATGGATTTCTATTAAAAAACCACCTAAGGATAGAATTGCTAGTCACAGAGAATACAGTCTTGAACTTTCATTATACTGCCCAACTCTCCAAAGTGGTTCTACTAATTGACATTTCTACCAGGGGTATGTAAACTTTCAATACTATACATCTTTAACCAAAAAACTGCCATTTTTTCCAAATTATATCATTTTGGCAAGTGTGTAATGATAATGTGGGTTTTTTTTTTCCTGCTAAGAAAAATTTGGTAAGATTCTGAAAATATTGACCAAAATGAAGCCTTTGATTTTCAGTTTTCCATGCTGTCCCTATCTTTCAGTACTACAATCAGGAGTTTATACTTTTTAGAAAGAGTATTTTATCTTTAAGTTTATTTATTTATTTGAGAGAGGAAGAAAGCACAAAGAGAAAGGGAGAGGGAGAATCCCAAGCAGGCTCTGTGCTAATAGCAGGGCTCAAACCCACAAACCAAATCATGAGATCATGACCTCAGCCGAAATCAAAAGTGAGACACTCAGGTGAAAGAGTATTTTAAATTTTAATTTGATTCATGAAAGCAAGTAGTTTGAAATATTACTCAATATTCTTTCTCATGCCTTTTATTGGCTTAATCTAAAAAAACAGATGTATTATTTCTCTTCCTAATTTAAGTTGTCATTCCAGGAATCATAACAATTACTGAAATGAGAGATATGACCTGTGGTATACAAAATTAGATTAATGAATAAATCTTTCCAGTTCCTCTGAGCCATTTTTCTTTGTTAGATTTTTTTTTTTTTTTTAAGTAAAGTACTAGCTGGTTACTGTTGAGTGATGTAAAACAGACTTTTAACTGCTCATGGGTAATGTCTGAAAGGTAAAGTGACATAAGATAAATGTCTGTGTTCCATTCTGAAAATAGCAGAAGTCATATGGAACCAAGATTTAGCTTAATTGACTTGTAATTTAATCCACTTTAAAAGTGGTTTGGCATAATGAAAATTGTACTATGGTTTCTTTTTGCATCATTAATACTAACAATGGAAAAATAACTAAGTAGATAAAGGTTTGAAAGTTGTAAATGCCAGTTTAGTTTTGTAAATAAATTTGTATTTGTGTGTGTAGTTTTTAAAATCACATATGCACTAAAAAGAAAATAATAGGGTTTTTTTTCTAGATAATTGAATGTCCAAAAATACCAGTCTTATAGCTGTTTATAAGTGTAAAACCGATTATGTTCTTTTGTTCTTAAGTTCAATGAAAAATTTTAAATTTCTAAAAGAATGTGTATTTGGAAAGTAGAATAACTTCTGATTGTGTTCCATTAGTAGTCATTTAGTAGTAGAAGGATGTTTAGCTGTGGAGTAGGTACTTTAAAATGATTGATGTAACCTTCATCTGAAAACAACTATAATTTAAACTTGGAAGATAAATGGTTAAATTGTCAAATAGGGGCCTACTAAATATACAGTAGGGGATAAATATGTTCTGTGTACAGTTATTTTTGATATTTAATAGGAATGAATCTTGCACCTATTACGGCTTGTGTGCTTTTCTTCTTGGTTTAGAGTTTGGAAAATAAATTGGTTGCAAAACTTCTAAGTTTAAATTGAATTAATGGTTTCCTTTAAAAAAAAAAACAACTACACTTCTTGTATAGAATCACAAATGTCTGTGTTTTTTGGTACTTGAGGGTTTTAAACAGGACTTGGAAAATTTCTGGTAAAGGTAATGAATTTTATTTTGGGAAAAAAGATGGCATAGAAATTTAGATGAATAAAAGCCAAAAAGATTCCTGGTTCCTTTTATTTTATTTTATTTTATTTTATTTTATTTTATTTTATTTTATTTTATTATTTTTTGAGCAAGAGAGAGCATGCACAATTGGGGAGGGGCAGAAGGAGAGGGAGAGGGGTGCCTGGGTAGCTCAATTGATTTGGTCTCCAACTCTTGATTTCAGCTCAAGTCATAGTCTCTCTGTTGGCTTTGAGTCCCACATGGGGCTCCTCATTTATGGATGGTGCATAGCTTGCTTGGGATTTTCTCTTTACCTCTCTCTGCCCCTCACCTGCTTGCACACGCATGCACACGGGTGTATACTCTCTCTCACAAATAAATAAACTTAAAAAAAGAAAAGAGGGAGAGAAAGAATCCCAAGCAGCCTCCGGTGCCCTGCTCAATGCCTGCTGCAAGGCTCCATCTTACTAAACTGGGAGATCATGATCTGAGCCGAAATCAAGAGTCAGATGCTTAACCAACCAAGCCACTCAGACGCCCCTCTGATTCTTTTTTAAAGAAGATAAAGTCTCTGACAAATTTAGCAAATAGAGAATCAATAAGAAAAATCGGTATATATTTTGTTCTTTGCGTTTTCACACTTGTGATCAATTTTAAAGCATATCAGTTGTTTGCTACAATATAGACACATCTGTAAGTAAGTATAGTATTTATTTGGAAATTACAGATTCCTAATGATAATATGTGAAGATATTGGTACCCACATTCAGATGCTTTATATGTTAATAGGCAGACTATCTTGGCATGGCCAGATTAACCTTTTGTCAATGTATTTAAACTTTTTCAGCCCTTATAATCATTGGAACAGTTGTATTTGACCTTCAAGTAACCAGAGTAAACAACAGCTCTGATTGTTTTTGACCTTTCAGTCCTTTAACATAGTCCTTAAGGACTGAAGAATAAGTTCTTCTTGAATTGTTTTAATTGATCAGTTTATCACAGGTAACTGGCCAGACAGCATTTCATGTTAATAATTCATTTAATTTGAATGAATCTACCAGTTCTCACTATTTGGGCAAGGCCACTTGCAACTAATTTGCTCTGTTTCAGACTCTCTTTGATATGTGCTGATTTTACAACATATCATAGGTAATCCAACTTAAGTTATTATTTACCAGTTTAAGTTATTACATATTCAGAAGCTTTTTAAATCTGATATTAAGTTTAATTAATCCCCTTTCAAAGTAAAAATGCCTGTTTTATAGCACTTTCTCCTCTGCTTGGCAGCATTTCAGAATCACTTAAGCAGTGAACACACTTTGAGAATCTTATCAGATTATATCCCATTGGTTTGTATTTATTGGCTTTCTTTTAGGTTCCAGCCTGAATAAAGATGGAAGAAAGGGAGGGAGAGAAGGAGGGAGAAAGAGAGAAAGAAAAGACAGGCATACTATAGAATGTCAGTGACAAACACTATCAATTTCTTTTTTTTTTTTTAATATTTTTATTTATTTCTAGGAGACAGAGAGAGAGACAGCGTGAGCAGGGGAGGGTCAGAGAGAGAGGGAGATACAGACTGTGAAATAGGCTCCAGGCTCTGAGCTGGCAGTCAGCACAGAGCCCGACGCGGGGCTCGAACCCACGGACTGCGAGATCATGACCTAAGTGAAAGTCGGACGCTCAACCGACTAAGCCACCCAGGCGCCCCAAACACTATCAATTTCTTATCTTTTCTTCTTTTACTTTTAAGATAAAGATACAGATGTCACCATGAAGGGGAATGTGGATGAATTTGGCCTGCGAGATACCTTGAGCATTGCATCAACTGATTCCTTTGCTTCAGCAGCAGAGGTAGGACTGAGAATTCCTCATTCTTTGTCACCCAGGGAGTACAGCTTTGCTGTTGTGCTGAATATCAGTGGCCATTTATGTAGCATCTACTATGTGGTAGATACCAGGCTACAAAGATGAATATACTATGAACATGAGTTTTCAAGGGAGCGTATAGTCATTTTAGAGAGGTGAACATGTAAACACGTACTTGAGAGGGGTACTGTCATATACTGTGGATTATGGCTGAGGCATGTAATATCTTCATAGAAAGTAATATAATTAGAACTCTTAAAGATGTTTAGATTCTTTAGCTTAGAAATCATACTTCCAGATATTTTTTTCAAGAAGGTGATCAGATTCAAAGATTTACTTATAAAAATAATCACTATAGCATTTTAACAATAATGAAAAACTGGAACTAGTCTAATGCCAAATTATTGCGCATACATAATTGAAATATTGTACTGCCAAAAGCATGTTTCCATTTACTTTTAATGGCATGGGAATGTATTTTACATCAAAAAAAGTGGTATATAGTCTCTATGTAGAGAGTATGATTGTAATTTAGTAATACAAGAACAGAAAAACGTGTGTAGTATATTGTATAAGTGTTTAGACAGACAAAAAAAGGTTAGATATAAATACACCAGTTGTAAACAATGATGATCAATGAATTATAAATTTATGGGCAGTTTGTTTTCTACTGTGATTTAAATTTTGTATCAAAAGAGAATGCTTGTAGGGGCACGTGGGTGGCCCAGTCTGTTAAGTGACCAACACTTGGTTTTAGCTCAGGTCATGATCTCATAGTTTATGGGATCCAGCCCCACAGCAGGCTCTAGGCTGACAGCATGGAGCCTGCTTGGGATTCTCTCTCCTCTCTGCCGCCCCCCTTTCCTCTCTCTCTCAAAATAAATAAACATTAAAAAAATTTCTTCAAGGATCTCCTGGGTGGCTCAGTTGGGTAAGTGTCCGACTTCAGCTCAGGTCATGATCTCACAGTTCGTGGGTTCAAGCCCTGTATCGGTCTCTTTGCTGACAGCTCACAGCCTGGAGCCTGCTTCAGATTCTGTGTCTCCCTCTCTCTCTGCCCCTCCCCCGCTCACTGTCTGTCTCTGTCTCTCAAAATAAAAGACATAAAAATTTTTAAAAAAATTTTTTTCTTCAAATGAAAAGAGAGTGCTTGCAGAGTTCACATCTTTTTATACTTATTTTCTACATAAAGCAAATTTAAAAATCACATACATTCAGTTTTATCTTAGAATAATTTTATTTTGGGGGCACCTGGGTGGCTCAGTTGGTTAAGTGTTGACTTCGGCTCAGGTCATGATTTTGTGGTCTGTGAGTTCAAGGCCCCACATCAGGCTCTGTGCTGACAGCTGAGAGCCTGGAGCCTGCTTAGGATTCTTTCTCTCTCTATGTCTCTCAAAAATAAATAAACATTAAAAAAAAATTTATTTTTATGGTAGATTTTGGATATCAATGCTGTCTTTTTTCATATAAATAGTATCAGATATCTGTAATTCATGCTGTAGTGTGGAAAGCTATATTCTAATACCCTATACCCCAAGCTTTGATTCTGCCTTTTTAAGAATATTTTTAATATTTATTTGTTCCGCAGAGAGAGGGAGAGAGACAGAGTGTAAATGGGGGAGGGACAGAGAAAGAGAGGGCAATACAGAATCTGAAGCAGGCTCCAGGCTCCCAGCTGTCAGCACAGAGCCTGATGTGGGCCTGGAACTCACGAACCATGAGATCATGACCGAAGACGAAGTGGGACGCTTAACTGACTAAGCCACCCAAGTGCCCCTGATTCTGCCTTTTTTAAAGCTGTAGTGATCATAATCTTTAATCTTTTCAAAAATTTTCTTTTATATATATTTTAGCTATTGCTTAAAAGTATTATCTCCTGAATTATTTATATCTTCCTTATATTTTATAAGTTTGCAGTAGAAAAATATGTCTTCTTTTATAGAAAAGCTATTTCTGCCCATTTACTATTTGATATAGACAGCTTTATTTTTCTGTTCTTTTGTAAAATTCTTTTCCAGTTTTATTGAAATATAATTGATATACAATGCATAATTGTAAGGTATACAATGTGATGATCTTATACACATGTATTGTGAAATAATTACCATAGTAAGATTAGTTAATATGTCCATCACCTCACAGGATTATGTGGGGGAGAGGTAAGAATGTTTAAGATATACTCTCTTAGCAACTTTCCAGTATATAATATAGTTTTGTTAACTGTAGTTGCCATGCTTTGCAGTAGATTCCCAGGAGTTTTTCATCTTCTCACTAGAAGTTTTTACTCTTTGACCAACATCTCCCATTTCCCTCAACCCTCATCCCCTTGCAGGCACCATTTTACTCTCTGTTTCTGTGGGTTTCACTTTTTCAGATTCTACATGTAAATGATAGAATGTAGTATTTGTCTTTCTCTGCCTGATTTATTTCACTTAGCATTATACCTTCAAGGTCCATCCATTGTCACAAATCACAGGATTTCCTTCTCTACCATGAGTGAATGATATACTTTCGTGGCTCAAACCCATGAACCGTAAGATCATGACCTGAGCTGAAATTAAAAGCCAGATACCCGGGGTGCCAGGGTGGCTCAGTCAGTTGAGCATCTAACTTTGGCTCAGGTTATGATCTCGCGGTCTGTGTGTTCGAGCCCCACATCAGGCTCTGTGCTGGCAGCTCAGAGCCTGGATCCTGCTTCAGATTCTGTGTCTCCCTCTCTCTCTGCCCTCCCCTGCTCATGCTTTGTCTCTTTCTGTCTCTCAAATATAAATAAATATTTTTAAAAATTTTATTAAAAAAAAAAGTCAGACACCCAACTGACTGAGCCACCCAGGTGCCTTGGGTCTTATATTCAACCATTTTGTCACTCTGTGCCTTCTAATTGAAGGGTTTAATCTATTGGCTTTCAAAGTGATTATTTTTAAAAAAAAAATTTTTTTTAATGTTTATTTTTGAGAGAGACAGAGTATGAGCAAGGGAGGGGCAGAGAGAGAGGGAGACACAGAATCCAAAGCAGGCCCCCAGCTTCCAAGCTGTCAGCCCAGAGGCTGATGAGGGGCTCGAACTCACAAACTGTGAGATCATGACCTGAGCCGAAGTCAGACACTTAACCGACTAAGCCACCCAGGCACCCCCAAAGTAATTGATAAGTATGTACTTATTGTCACTTTGTTACTTGTTTTACGGTTGTTTTGTAGTTCCTCTCTGTTCCTTTCTTTTGTTCTTTTCTTTCAAGGATTGCTGGTTTTATTTAGTGATATACTTGGATTCTATTCTCTTTATTTTTTGCATATGTATTACTGGTTTTTGATTTGTGGTTACTGTTAGTTTTGTAATAATGTCTTAGGCATATAGCAGTCTATATTAAGTTGATGGTCATTAAAGTTTAACCCATTTGTTTACTTCTCTCCCCCTTCCCCAACATTTTAGGTATATGGTGTCATGATTTATATTCTTTTATTGTGTGAGTCCCTTGACTGATTTTTATAGATATACTTATTTTTACTGCTTTTGTGCTCCCTACTTTTCTTATTCCTGCATATAGTCTTTCCACTCAAAGAGCCCCCTTTAACATTTCTTGTCGGGCTGGTTTAGTAGTCATGAATTCCTTTTAACTTTTGTTTTTCTAGGAAACTCTTTATCTCTCCTTCTATTCTGAATGATAGCCTTGCTGGATAGAGTATTCTAGGTTGTGATTTTTATTTTTTTCTTTAAGCGCTTTGAATATATCATGGCATTCCCTTTGGCCTGCAAAGTTTCTGGTGAAAAATCAGCTGATAGCCATTTGGAGTTTTTCTTTTATGTAACTATTTTATTTTCTCTTGCTGCTTTAGAAATTCTCTCTTTATCTCTACTTTTTGCCATTTTAATTACTATGTGTCTTGGTGTGGGCCTCCTTGGATTGATCTTGGTTTGGGGACTCTCTGTGCCTCATGGATCTGGATGTCTGCTTCCTTCCCCACATTTTAAGCTATTATTTCTTCAAATACATTTTCTGCCTTTTTTTTTTTCCCTCTCTGCTCCTTCTAGGATCCTTATAATGTGAATGTTATTACACTTGATGGTGTTGCTGAGTACCTTTAGTCTGTTTTCATTTATTATTGTTATATTTTCTCTCTCCTGTTCAGCTTGATGGCTTTCCATCATTGTGTCTTCCAGGTCACAGATTCGTTTTCTGCTTCCTGTAGTCCTGTATTTATTCCATCTAATGTTTTGGGGGGGGGAAGGAGGAAGAGAGAGACCATGTGCACATGAGCAGGAGAGGGAGAATCTCAAACAGGTTCCACACCCAGTGGAGAGCCCACTGTGGGGCTTGATTTCATGACTGTGAGATCATGACCTGAGCTGAAACAAGAGTTGAAAACCCAACTGATTGAGCCACTCAGGCACCCCCATCTAGTTACTGAATTCTTCATCTCTGATTGATTCTTTTTTATGTTTTCTATTTGTTTTTTGAGGTCCTCCACTTTCTCTCAAGTTCAGTGAGTATCTTTATGGCCATTACTTTAAATTCTCTATCAGGCATATTACTTATCTCTATTTTATTTAGCTCACTTACTGTGATTTTGTCCTTTTCCTTCATTTGGGAGATATTCCTCTGTGTCCTCATTTTGTCCAACTCTGTGTCTAGCTCTATGTCTAAGTCAGCACTGTCTCCTGCTCTTCAAAGTAGTGGGCTTATTTTATATGGAACTACAAAAGACCCCGAATATCCAAAGTTAATATTGAAAAAGAAAACCAAAGTGGAAGGTATCAAATCCCAGACTTTAGCCTCTACTACAAAGCTGTAATCATCAAGACAGTATTGTTTTGGCACAAAAATAGACACATATACTAATGGATTAGAATAGAGAATTCATAATTGGTCCTATAATTGTATTTCTTTTTAATCTTTGACAAAGCGGGAAAGAGTATCCAATGGAAAAAAGACAGTATCTTTAACAAATGGTGCTGGGAGAACTGGACAGCAACATGCCGAAGGATGA